ATCCAGTGTATAAATAATGGACTTACAATGAGTATGAAAAACGTCTGTCAGCATTTGACTCAATGATAAATTGTACTTGCTGACAAGTTCATTGTATCCACCATAGAACTTACGAATTGATGACTTTAAACGAGACAGCTGAAATTCTTGTTTCATCAACTTGTTTGTCAATAATTTACCTTGTTTTCGAAATTGTTCAATCTCTTGCGTATCGAGTCAACTGATATAATATATATATTCCGTATGCAGGTATTACTGCATAAGTAAGGGAAGTTGACGATAGAAAAGTTAAAGTCATCACGTTTATCATAGAGCTTGGTTGTTAGATTACTATTAACGTCTTTTTCAAGTCATATATCCAAATATGAAACAGACGTGTCAGACTCTGTGGTATCTTTTATCTCAAGTTCACCAGGATATATCGTATCGACATAAGAATGGAAATTACCAATGTTAATTGACAATACGTTGTCGATATATCTAAATATCGAGTTGAAGGTCACAGCAAGTGGTTTCTTCTTTTCACGCATAAGATTTTGCAAAAATTATGCTTCAAATGAATACAAAAAGAGGGCTGCTAGTTACGGGGCGCAAACGGATAGAAATTCCAATTATAGATTGTTGGAAGACCTGGTTCTCCAAAAAACGATATAGATATTGTCAATCAGAAACCCAAGCATCTTTTTGATGTCAACTTCCTAGTATTTTAGTTCTGTATACTGATTAGAATCTTACCCATGGGAAAACCTGTGAAAGACAAAGTTCCAAGGGCACAATAGTGATCGGACATTTCATCTCGTGAAGGACTATGTACGCTGCTTCTGGATCTGAGCCAAAGTTGAACTCCGACGCGATAGAAGAGGATCTGTTCCCTTTACCTTTTAGAATGAAAACAGATAAATAAATTATATCGTTTTGTCTTATATCTAATAGATAATTTTGATTCTGCTATTATTTACCTTGCATGTTTCCCCCCATGATAACCAAGCCTTTCAACCGTCTAGAAAAATCCGGATCCATACGAAGTGCTAATCCAAGATTCGTCAATGGTGCCAAAGCAACTAATTTAACCTCACCTTTCGACATAATATATTATTAAGTACTAGTATTTGTTTTATTTTATTTGCATGTATAGGCCAACCGCATATTTCTTTATATAATGAAAATAATTATTTACATGTAAATTAATAATGATAATAAATACATCGTATATACATGATATGTTCTCTTTCATTTCTTATATGCAAGTAAATATCGCGCAATTTATTTTGCTAGAAACTCATATGAAAAATTAACTTGGATTTTATACCTTCATGCATTTTTGAAAGTCGCGTCAGCGCATTTACTGCGTGTTCCTCTTGAATACAATTCAAATTAACGTCCAGTGCGTCTGGAACATCACCCAAACCGTCTTTTCCATGAACATGGGAAGCATCTTCATCATAGTGTACAATAGATCTTGCACTTCCTTTGAATATCGGTATCTGGTGATGAAATTAAAAACAACCCAATTTAATTAAAATTTTGTTAGGGATCTGAATTGGAAATAAAATATATAATTAACGAGCAGTAATCAAGCTCAGAAGTTAACTGGAACAGAATAAGCTGAGAGCAGAATAAACATGGACCTCTAGCAGAGATGAGATCAGGTCAGGTGTCATGGAGGATTAAATATCTCCCGTCGACCGATCATATGTGTCGTCTGTTCCCTGTCATGATCGGGTAAACCGGGAATTCCGCATTTTATTCAGTGTGAAAATAATGGCCTTACAATTGTATGAACATTTGCTTTAACGAAAGATTATATTTGCTGACAGAGATTGCCTCGGACACAGAGTTTGAATTTAACGAGATTGTTGATTACTTATATCGCCATCTTATTTGTCAATGTCTCGTTTTATAAATTGTTCGTACACAGAAAATTTTGTGTATCGAAACAACAAAGACAAAGTTCTTTAAGGGCTTTTTTAGCGTTACAAATTGCTGAAAAATCAGAACTGGTCAGGTTTAGTTGAAAATATCTTAAATTTCACTTGGAGCCATGGTGACTACATATCATTTAGAAATGATGTAATTTTCTCTTCAGCCCATGTATTATGCATATCATGAACTGTGTCATTTTCCTCAAATCTTGAAAATTTCTTTTAAATTGACCAAAAATTTAGCTGCTTTTAAGTATGCTGCATAGACCCAACATCTGACTAAATTTGTAAAATAATATAATGAATATATAATTAACTGTTTCAAAAGATTCTAATCCATGGATGTTTTTTTTTTTTGATGAGCAGGGTGGGCTCATATTTCAATCATTTGTTGAAGATGCTAAAATCCACTTATTTTCTTGGAAATTCGAGGTTATTACAGTTTTAAAAGACTTTTTTTCAATACCTGGACTCTCGGATTTTTATAGGCAATAAAAACATTGTTTATGTCTCTACTTTATAATGATGTTCAAAATGGAACATTGGCCCTTGGTATTTGGAAAAAGCCAGCTTATGGAGTAAGTCATTAGTGAACCCAACTCTTTATATGTTATGAAATGAGTTGAGATAACGAACAGTATTTGAGCTCAGAAGTCCATTAAACATTGAAAATAGGAGCGGAGCAAACACGGACATCCAAAACATCAGAGGTGTGATCAGGTGCTATGGAGGTGCTATGGAGGAGTGAGCATCCTCTGCCAATTATGGCATATTGCTTTATAAGGAAAATTGCCCCCCAAAAAGTTTAAATCATCACTTTTATCTTTTATAGTTAATTTCCATAACCCATAACTTTTCCACCCATCAAGAAGTATTGCACTTAAACTGTTTTTAAACTAATCAATGTTAAACATTTCATCATCTGGATCAAAAATTAATTTCAATTGAATTACTTACATGTAGAGAATCACAAATTTTAAGAACACGCAGCGTATTTTTGCAGACGTTATCAATGTCCACATTTCCATTGACACACGTGATTGCTATGACGTCAATTTCTGGTCTGGACACTGCCATCATGATAGCCTGAGCATCGTCCACCCCTGTATCACAGTCTATAATCATCTTCTGCTTCGCCATTTTTCAAGAGGACAAAGTATGTTCTCATTCCCTATTAAACCTCAGCTCAGACGGGTACTGTTAGGATACTTCATTGCATTTCTTATATCAAAAGCCAAAATTGCTGTGCTAATATATTTGGAGTGATAAAGCATGTTCATTGAATTATTTGAATATCTTTATATCAAAAGTTTATGTGTGTGCATACATATTGGATAGCATTATACATTTAATTTGTTAATATCAAGAGAGAGAATGAATCTTAAAAAAAACAAAACCTTTAAAGATCATGATTTTACAAATGTTAATTCAAGAAGTACGTACTAAATACATTCAAATTGTCTCTTAGAAACATTGTTGAAATTTGGTACTCCTCTATAAACATGTATTTTCCATAAATGTCTAGCGAGTTAACAAAAAAAATCAAACTTATAATTGAATCATGATTCAATAAAATTGTGAGGGTTTTTTTCTGTTGCAAGATGCGTAGAATCTTTCCGTAAAACTAAAATAGTGGCTCAGTATTTCATAGAATTGAAATGTTTCTACAGTACATGCAAAGAAAATGTGTCCCCTACGTAGTTTTGCTGCTTGGGACACCAGGTATCGAAAATACATAAAATATTTTTCTTTCTTTGGAACCCCTTACATATTTATTTTTGAAAACCAAATGCATACAGATTTTCATGGAATATTAATATACTTAATTAGTGACACTATTCAGAATAACTTTTCAACATTTAATATCAATCTCAATCGTTTCTTGTTTCATTTTTGCAAAAAGTTTTGAACATATTTTATTGTATAATTTATACAATGGGATTGGTAACAAGTTCTTGCAACTTAAAAAACCTCTCCCTGTAATATATACAATAATTAAATTAGTGATTGCCAAAATAACAATTTAAGGTGTAAAGTTATACATATACAAGATAAATACAAAATATTTCAAGTTAATACAAAATATTTCAAGTTAAGACACTTACTAAAGATTCAGAGTTCTTATAATAAGTAGATCTATAATGATACATGTAAATGATTACAATTATAACAGTTATTTGGAAAAAAAAATATATATGACAATAATGATAATAAATAATAAGGCCATAATAAATAAATTGCTAGATTCTCATCCGAATTTTTTTAAAAATCGAGGCGGGCGGGCGGCTTTTATTTTATATTTTTTATTTTTTCAATTTTGCAGATTTTTTATTGACCTTGTCAATCGGTGTAATTTTATCTACAGTACCCGAATAAAAGTCATAGTAAAGGTTCAATTATCGCTTACTTCACATTATCACCAATCTTTTTCAACCAATAACCCTTGTTTACAATATATACGCATGTATAACAGCAATCACGGTTATCACCACCTTTTCAGCTGTCAAAAATCATGACGACTTTCGCGGGGTTTAAAACGAAAGTAGAATGGTAGATGAATACCGATCCCGATCAGAATTAAACCGTAGAAAAACAAAAATAAAAAAAATCGAGGCGGGGGTATAAAATCGGGGCGGGCGGGGATGAGAATCTTGGAATATGTATGGGTTTTAAACATTGAAATATTCAATTAACTAATCTTTAAAAAAATAATAAACTAATCTTGTAACATGGATCTCCAGAGAGAAAAAGATTTCTCTACATCTGTTTTTTCTACAATGGTAACATTGGGAGACTTTTTCAGTTTGTCACGCCAATCAGCAACCAACATGCCGCGTGTCAAGTTCCCATTTAGTTCCACTGTGGCAAATATGTCCACAGATTTTAGTACAATAGAACTGTCAATTGCAACTGCCGTCGCAAAAACATCACAGGAACGATAACCAAGCTCTCGGTTCGTTTTCTGATGGGCAACTGTACTTTTGGTGATTGCTTGAAGGAAGTTCGATTTTCTAGTTTCTAAATTGAGACATTCCTCAGCCCTTTCCTAAAATTATCACAAAAATATAATTATACACGTACTTCCTTTGGGTCTTTTTTTTAACAGCAAAATAATTAGTGTCTCCGCTTCGATTATGAATTAATGAGCTATTATTGAAAATAAGCAAACATTTAATCTGAACCAATTTAAATTTGCAGAAATGAGCGATTGGTGCAAGCCTTGCAAAATGAAAAGTTCAACTGTAATGCATTCGTTTGGTATCCTAAGGAAACTCGAGAAAAAAAATGATTAGTTTTATTATATTGAAAAGCTACTTGAAAATATCGTTATTACCCTTGTAGTTTAATACCTAATATAAAATTTAGTGTACATTAAACTGTTAGTAAGAATACCATTTTGAAATCGATATCCTACACTATCAAATTTTAATATATTACCCAAGGATACACATCTATCAGGCACAGCTCCCATGGCACAATGGTGATCGGACATTTCATCTCGTGAAGGACCATGTATGCTGCTTCTGGATCTGTGCCAAAGTTGAACTCCGACGCGATAGAAGAGGACCTGTTTCCTTTCCCTTTAATATATATCCAGGTAAAATTGTTCT